AGGATTTTGTTAGCTTGGCTGCTGTTTTAAGATCCTTCTACTTAAAGGCTTCAATAAGCACAGCTGCCTCAAAATATATTTTGCATGAAATTTATCTCTGTATTTTGCATCTCTGGCTTTATCCGTATGATATTCCTGTATGATTATATCTGTATGATAAGGGGGAGGCTTTACCAAAGTCAGTGCCATCCTCATGTAAGACTGAATTTACCTGTGGTTTAAGCTCAGTGTTTTATATAGAACACAGACACACACACACACATTTGATGAATATGTGTGAAAATAGGCTTTGAATCTGTTAATGCTCCCCCTTCCTTCCCTCATATGTGCTGGTGAGAAAAGGACTCTGAAAAAGAATGTGACTGTAGGTGGCCATCACTTAGATATTAAGAGGAAGCAACTAAGGTTTTGTAGCTGATTTTCTAAAAGAGCATGTACATAAATGCAGCCTATTTTACTGTTGTAGAAAAAGAAATTGAGTGTTGTTTTGCTTGGTCTGCAGGGCTCAATACTGCAGATTTTATTTTCTTCTGGTGCTTTACTTTCTGGTGGTGCTGTAGGTCTGTGCACTGCCTGCCAGGGCTCCCGCTGGGGTGGGCATGGAGCGCCTGCACAGGCTGGGAACCAGCACCTGCCTGGCTGAGCAGATGAGGTACAGACAAGGTGACAAAGAGGACATGGCAAAAGAGGGGGAGTTGAAATACACTGGGGTTGTTGAGGACCATTGGGATCCAGCCTTGGCCTCGGTGTGGTCTCCCCTGGCTGTGGGCCCTGTGTGGGGCATGGCTGGTGTGACAAGAAGGTGCCTGGGCTTGTATGGCACCTTCTCCACACACCCCCTGCCTCGCCCACCTTGGTTTTATATTTGGATAATCAGACTTGGCTCCTTAGGAACAGTCTGCTGAATTAAGAAATTCAGTATTTCAGTGTATCAGGAAGAGGGCAGCCCTGTGGCTGGACTGCAGCCTGTGGCTGTACCCCTGCGTTTGGGGGTGTGAGTGCCATGTTGTTGGGGCTTGCTGTGGTGGGCTTTGCTTTGGCTGGTCTTTAAGACATTTCTGGTGATTTATCATTCACCCAGAATATCTTCCATTTGTTTCTTCCCCCATTAATTTTGCCTAAATGAGTTAGATGTTCAAGAAGCATGATGAAGTAACAGCAAACCTATTATCTTTTTCAAACTTACTCCTACTCACACCTCAATCCCCATTGTGCTCCCTCAGCCAGACCAAGCACAGAAATCTGGAGAAAAAAAATCTGATGTTCATTTGATGTTTATCTCTTTACATTGGACTGATATAAGTTATTAGTTATGAGCCATCTAGCTGCATAATAAACATTTTACTTTTCAATCCAAATTAATTGTTTTCATCCTTTAATTTTTATTTATAACCTAATGCTATCTGTTGTATAATGGCTTTTGAATATTTACGTAGTGGAAAAGTCACTGCCCAAGCTTACAATTTGGACTTACAATTGGGACTGAATGTGGTGGCAAGGGACAGCATCTGTGTAGTTGAGAAACATGCCTGCAAAGCCTTCCTTGCCCAAGATAGAGATGTTCACAGAAGTTCCCCTAATGCTTTATAAAGTGCAACCTTAGTATGTGGTCAGTGCCCCGTGGGGCTGAGTTCAAGGTGCATTCTCTGCTGTGGAAGGATGGTTGTTGGTCAGTCCCTCACAAAGTGTGTTCAGTTTACAGGCACACACAGCTGGCTGGGAGATGGCAGATGTGTGCTGTAGGCTCTTCTTTCCATCGTGAGCCCCCATTGACGTGGGAGTGGATGTTGGGAAGGGCTGGGGGCACACTGGGAATGGCTTCAGTATAACATTCCTGCAGTGCCTGTGTGGTAAAAGAGGATTAAATTCATTTAGTAGATGGTTTGGATTGGGAGCACAACAATTGCTGTAAATAATCAGCACCTCACGCCCTGTCCCCCCAGTTCCTATAGAAAAAAGACTAACAGTAAACAAGCTTCAGCAGCCTTAAATTAGCATTGACAAGCTTATCCCTTCTCCCATCTCTCCTTGTGGACAGATCAGCATGGGAAGCAAACCCAGGGGCATGGGAGGAGAGCTGGGGAGGTCACAGAGTGTCATTTAGGAAGTAGATCTTTCTGTGTGCATCTGAGGGGCTTTGTGCATTCTGCTTCATTGTTTGTGGTAGGAAAAGTCCGTGTTCTGTAACGAGTAGCCCATTCCATTGTCAGCTGGACAAGTTGTCAGCACCCCATGCTCTGTGACGCCCTGTGATTTGGCTAAAGTGAGAACCTTCAGAATTCCAGAATTCCTCTTAGATGAGTAGTGAACTCAGATCTATGCAATTGCTTATTCCTTTGCAAAGGCAATTAAATCCTTTTTGTAATAACTCTATCACTCTTTGTGTGTGTGAGGAAAACAAATCTTTTATAGAAATGGCAAATTGCTAATGGTACTGTATTGTAATTGAACATTAAATCAGGGCATTCTTGAGTGTTGTTTTGGTAACGTTTGTACTTTTGAAGGATTTACAGCTACTGTTTGTTAATATTGTTTGTTAATACTATTTTTTAATATTTCTGTACAGTTATTTCTGTCTCTACTGCACAGCTAAGGAACATAATTTAAGAAATTCACTCTTTAATGGAAACAAAGGTTAAAATTTGACTTTAAATGAGTGAAATAGAGGTTGAGCAGGGCAGCAGTGTGTTCTGTGGTCTGATTGTGGTGGTCCTTTACTGCTAAAAAGAACAGAAGTATGCTGATTAACTTACTTAGATTGTTGAAGCCAACAAACCAGTTTAGTGTCACACCATGTCCATGCTGTATACTTGTGCTAGTTGCCAGCCCTGGTGCCAGGTGTGTCTTAGGAATTATTGTGAGTATAGATATGGGGTAATGATCCCTAATCATCAGGTTGGGGCTCTGAGCAACCTGCTCTAGTGAAAGGTGTCTGTGCACATGGCAGGGGTGTTAGAATGAGATGATCTTGAAGGTCCCTTCCAACCCACACCATTCTATGGTTCTGGTGATCTACTGGCAGTGATGCACAGCTTTGAAAAACTATTTTCCAGACTAGTTTTTTTCTTTGAGATGTTTTTCTCAGTACACTTAGAACAAGCTAAAGGATCACTCATAACTTTGCTCTTCTTTTGTTCTCTTTTCATGCACTTCAGAAACAGAACATTCTATACATTTAAAAACTACTGAGTGGGTGTACTTCTGCCTTAATTATTAGGAATGGTTAAATTTTGAAGTAGAAGATCAGTCTTGCTGTTCTTGGTTCTTCCTGTTCATCTGTAAAGCTAACTTTATTTTCTTTCTCTTTTTTTTTTTTTTTTTTTCTTCAATGCAGAACTATGGTTTGGAAACAGAAAATCTAAAAACCCTTTCTCACAAACTGAATGCATCTGCCAAAAATCTGCAGAACTTTATTACTGGGAGGAGGAGGAGTGGTCACTATGATGGAAGGACCAGTCGCAAATTACCAAACGATTTTCTGACATCAGTAGTGGATCTGATTGGAGCAGCTAAAAGTCTTCTGGCTTGGTTGGACAGGTAAAATCTCCCAAATATCTCACAGGTAACCAGATCACGCACATGAACAAGCTCCGACTTCTTTACAAAATGTAACATAGGCGTTGAATGGAAGTAGAATTCATTCACATGTTCAAAGGGGATGTTAGCAATTCTTGGTTTTTTTATGTCAGCATGCAATTCACATTAGCATTTCAATACAATACCTCCAAATGCACTGTGACCCTATACATACAGTAAAGCAACAGGATGACATCATTAAGTTATATATGTATTTTTTATTAATATAAAGCAGCAATTTAACCTGCATAAATCTGATTCATTGCTTTCATACTATCAAATTCACAAAACTGATCATACTTTTCATTACATGGGTGTCAACATATAATTCCAGAGTGTGTGTGTGTCTATACAAATGTGCATGTTGTGTTTTAGGTTTTTTAAATAGCAGTGAAATACCTCTGATTTTCTAGAGGTACTGTTCTGAACTTCTACCTCTATTATCTAGGAGGTATGTGGGACCAGGACTAAAGTGATCCCCTTGCTACATTTGTAGTGACTTTTTCTAAGTATAACAAGAGTAATTTGCAGGTATTTAAGATGATCATTGTAATTCCTAAAGTGGTTGAAATTAGTCTATCTGTATGTCTTTATATAATGCATCACAATGAATTATTGTCAGAGAAAATAAAATGCTTACCTTGATTTAAAGGTGTATCTTATTTTGTTCCAGCAGCTGAAGTTTTGTTCAGAGGATGATCTTCACGTAACTTTTCAAATCCAATAGAATTATTTGGTTTTACTGCTATGTGTTTTGTGTTTCATTTTTCTGGGGAGAACTAGCTTCTCTTCCATAAATGATTTCCATATGAATGGTTTAGGTGAGGCCTGAATCTTTCCCATTCCTTAAACCAGGCTGCAAGCTCTTTGTTTTGTTTAGGAGATTGCAGCTATGATTGCTGCTTCTTCTCTACTCCTTCTCCAGCCTTTCCCCAAGTTTGAAACCCAGAGTACCTAAAGTTGGCTCCTAAATTTCTCTTTAGATTTTTATCATTAGGTGTGTAGAGAAGTAGTGCAATCTTATGGACAGTTTAGTATTTAGACTTGAACAAATGGGAGTATATTTTTAGCTCTGTCTCTAACCTGTTAGTACTTGGAATACCTGTAGGCTTCACTTTTTTTCCCTGCAAAATCTATTATATTGAGAGATTGGCAGAGAGAAACATATCATACTGGGCTTTAAAACAGAAAGAGCAGTAGAAAAACATGTTATTTTGCATAGATGGGTCAGTTTTTGCCACTTATTTCTATTTAGAAATAATCTTGTTTGGTTTCTCATTGGAGCTGTGGTCATGATTAAAGACTGTTTGCAGTAAGTCAAAGTTCTTTTTGGGTTTTGGTTGTTTGTTCATTTTTTAATAGTCTGTTATTCAAAAGTAAATTTCATATATATGTATACACATATTTAACACATTGAAGAACAATGTTTTCTGCAACTTAATATGAATTTAATAATTGAAGTTCAGGAAGAAGGTAGTTATTAATGCTAGAAAACATCTTCATCACAAGACTGGTGTGTCACTGTAGTACTGTGCACTGCATGTACTTTTTGCATTTAGCTGAAGTGAAGTGACAGCTGATTAGACCCAGGAATTCCAAGAAGTTAAAAATAAGGGTAATTATGGTGCTATCACGCTTTCAGCAATGCTGTCTTGAATGTCCAAAGAAAGCTTCAGTTTTCTAGGAAAGCCCTTTTGAAGATCTAAACACCTGGTTCTAAGAAATGTTTTCTAAAATATTTTAAGACTTTTCTGATTTATGAGTGTCTGAGTATTTTGGTGAAGTTTGTTCTTCCTTATTTGTGAAGACTCCAAATAAGGATAAAGGTAGGCCAATAAGTGCATTTTTCTCAGGAAGGGGGAACATCTAGAGGTTAATATGATTCTGCTTCTTGTATACCTTCTAAAAAAATATTGGTGCCACTAGGGGGAGATAAAAAGATTTTAAAAATTGGTTAGTAAAAGTAAGGAATATAGATTTAATTCTGTTACTATCAAATTCTGGACCCCAAATCTTAGTTTTTTGGTTCTTTTCTAGTACCAGTTCCATCTCTGGGTTGTGAGAGGGGAGAGCAAACCACTAGGTTGAAGTGGCTCTTAGGGTTGTCCACCCCATTGTAAGAGCACTGCTTGACTGCCCCTGTGCAGTGGTTTTTGAGGTCACATCTGGGAAAAGCAGCTAGCAGCAGCTCCAGCTTGCATAGACAGGCAGTGATGTGGGTCTTACACATAGGGAATGGTGACAGCTTGTGTTTCACTTGTTGCTGTAGTGAATGCTCTGTTCATGAGGTTTCTGTGGGACACTTTAAGGCTTAAAGGACTTGGTTAGGCCTGGCACAGTTATCTAAATGAGTGCGAGAGTTGTGATTTGCTGAGTTACTTTCACTGTAGTCTCGCAGTGCTACTGTACAGGGCTGATCCAAAGACACCCTTTCTTCCAGATCTTTGCCTGGAGCAGTCCTGCTTCCAGATGTATGTCAGAAATTGAGTTTTACTGAAAATTAGGGTAGCTTTTATTGCCAGGCTTTAAAAGTCTTTTGGTATAGTTTAATTTATGGGCTGGAAATGTTAGCAGAGAATTCTATTTTCAAAAGAAGTTGCCTGACGATTTTGAGGAGCATGAAATAACTCTCCAATAACATGCTGTAAGGAAACTGTCATCACACTGATACATTTGAGTCTAATTTTAACTTCCTGTTACTTTCTCAGCCCACAAAATGTATCCTCTTTCAGGAGACTTCATAGCTTTTGTTTTATACTTTCTCCCTAGTCTTAAAATTCTTCCAAGCAAATTTCCTGACAAGATTGGTACCTTCTTGAAAAACCATGAGGCTTTTGTGAAAGGGTGATGTGTTTCTACTTGACACTTAACGTAATTTAGGCAGATGGAAACCTGCACTTCAGGCTATAGCAACAAACCACTTACCTGATGTTCAAAGCAACTTGGCATTGAAATATCTCCTGTGATACTTCTCAGGATTACAGTCAATCAGGTCTTCTAGACTTCCAGTTAAATCACTGGTGTTCTGTTCAGTCTTTACTCCTGTAATTCATGAAAATTGTATTCTTTGGAATAGTAATATATGTTACCTTTCTTTATCCTTCTTTTTCTCTGATGTGTCAGATTCCTGGAAATTCTTCTGCCTTCTATAGGGCTGATCCATTCCATCATGGTGAAAAATATTTTAAAATGAGTAATTAAATTTGGATTACTTTATTAAATTCGCCACTGTGGATTTGCACCATGAATGTGTTGCAATTTTCTGGCATAAAGCTGTTTCTAACCTCTTACAAGTATTTTTTTTCTGTGCACTGGTATGTCTAATAGTATCTTCACATTTAATTTGAATTGAAATTAGGCATATTTATTTCTGTTAATCCTGGTTAAGGTTTCATTCTTAGAGCACACATTTACAATCCACCTGAAAAGCACTTTGTAACTGCCTTTGCAATTTCTGAATTATGTATACATTATCCATCCATGGCTTTCATGATCTAAAAGTAATATGAACACCTCAAGGATTTTGAGAGCAGAAGCTACTTTCTTTCCATCTTTAACAAAATTTTGTTAGGATTTCACCGTGTTACTTGCATTTTCAATGACACTAGTGAAAACTTGTCTGTTGTTGTCTAGAGGCAAGCATAAACTGGAAAGCAATGATATCACAGGGATCCCAGAAAGTTCTTCTGAGCCCCAAGTTTAGATCATTTGCCAGTGCTTATAAGTAGCATTCTTTCTGGTTAGGACACAGCCAGGTCTTGTACTGTACTCCCAGCTCATTCCTTTTCTACTAATTTGCTGATACCTGTTGGTTGCTGTACTGAAATTGAGATGAGTCCAGTCCTGAATGAAGGGTGCTCAGATTCATCCAATATGTTTTCTCCCAGATCTTAGCAGACCACCTGGCAGGCAGACAGAAGGTTGGATCTTCTTTGGAAGCTGGTGGAAATTTGAGTGTTGAGTTTGTCTCCTGATGAGTCAGAAGCTGCTGCAAAGTGAAGACAGCCTTGGGAGCAAAATCCTTTAAACACCTCATTGTTTCTCTTCAAGTCACATGATTTTCTTTCATGGGATTTAACAGGTACAGCTCATTACCTGACATTCCCACTCTTGACTGGGAAGTACTGTATTGCTCTTTGTGGAAGAGGAAGGATCTTTAGCAAACGTGAACTGAGGCGACTTTCGATGTCAGCTTCATGTGCCCTCTGGCTTCACACTTCTCTCCTTGCTCTTCCAGCACAAACTTCTGATGATGTCATCTCCCACGTTGTTCCTGGTTTGATACCTCTTTTGATATCTCTTTATTCACCTCCACCACACTTCTGTTGTCTTTGCTGACCAAAATCCCTGGAAATCTGTATTTTCTGCAGGTTGTGCTAAGCAAGAAAAGAATTCTTAGTTTTGCTTCTTGGCTTCTTCCTGTCTAGTCTGGTGTTTGGGCTGTGTTATCTGAAGCAAGGACTCCTTATACCATGTATCTTGTGCAGCATCAATAGAATATTTTGGATCTTAACGATAGGACTAATATCTGCATAAACTATAAATGCAGACTTAGAGAATATGAGTGAGGAAGGATTGGTTGTTTTTAGGGCTTTACGTGAGTCCTCATTAAAGAGACACTAAAATAGTGTGGTAGCGTTTTTTTCTGTTAAGAAGTTAAGGAAATACAGTCAACTTCCCATGAGATAACTACTACAACATTTTGTGTCAGTTGTTGTGTCACAGATTTTAATGGTTGTGAATTAGGATTTGTCAAGCACCACTGGATTTTTTTAGTGTGCTATTTGACTCAGCCATCTGTGTAGGCAGAATTCAATATGTCTTTCACAGCAACTCTTCTGTAGCTCTTGTTTTTCACACTAGCACTATCCCCTTTTTGGAAATAAAGAACTTAAACTGCTGCTGCAGATTACACTGCAGTCTAAGTAGGAGGAACAAAGAGATTTTGTGGAGATAGATTTCTGTATTCAAGACTTCCAGTGCTGTGGCCAGAGAAAAGCTAACAGGCTGACAAATGTGCATCAGTGTGATTAACTTACCACTGCTTTCTGGACACGTGGTAAATGAACAAAATGGAAAAAGAACATGAACAAGAAAACCTAACTGTAAATAGAAATTGTTGGTTATATAAAATATATGGTAAAATTGCTGACAGAAATAACAAAATGTAAAATTTCACAGTAAAAGGCCTTTTTGGCAAGTCTCTGTCTGCTTTTAGGGTCATTCACAGATTAGTGGGGTGTAATCCTATGACTTCTAAACCTCAGGTGGGCAAATTATGTTGGTATGAGCATAAATTGCTACAATTCTGCGCAGCAGTTGTATCTGTACATGAATCCTATTAAATAAGAGTAAAGTCTGTGCCTGAAGCTGAGGACCTTTGAATGCTTCAGTGGCTGACAGCAGAACAGGATCTCCAAGCATTACACCATGGGCTTTTTTTGGTGATGCTTTGATGCATCAGAGAAGTGCAGCCTGCAGTGATGTAAGTGCTCTTGGTTTGTGACTGAACAATTCTTGGTGTTCAGGTGTGACACACCCTTTAAGTCTACATTGTATGAAAGTATTGTAGTAGGAGAACACCTTCCCCACTCCAAAATGGATGCCCTTTTCAGCATGGTGACATACTCAGTGCATACATTTTCTTCCATCATAAGTAGAATGTGTTCAGCTGGGTTTCTTTGCCTCATTGTTTTTGGTGAATGAGCCTTGGTGATGTTTATGGTGTGACTGTTTTGTAAAGAAGTGCATTGTTTGTAGCTTCTTCCTTACAAAGAAAGCGTTACTGGTTTAGAGTCTCCTTTATAACAGACTTCAGTCTCTTATAACAAGTCCTGTTAGCTGTGCTTGGTTATTACTTGTCCTGACAGGGTAAATCTGCTTTACACACAAGATGGTGGGAGTAAACAAAAAAACCCAAACAGAAAGAAACAAAAGACTTTAGCAATTCTTTACTCACCACACCAGTGTTGCACTATCTGTCAACTGTGTTTGGGCTTAAACCTTTGAATCTTGTTTCTTTTATGCATTTCCCTTTTTGCTGGTTTGAATGGTACCAAACCTGTCAGTAAATGGTGCCTCAGCATGCTATGGTACTTAACTGTATTGTGCTCCTGGAACAGCTGTAAATGTTTAATAGAGCACTCATTTAAAAAATTCCTTTATCCAGTGTGAATTTTACTTCATTCTTCACTGATTCTACATAAAGCAGTTCCATTAGAAATACAAATGAAATGTTTGTTTCATGAAAGCCTTAAACTATGAATCTTAGATGGCTTAGGCACAGTGAATATACAACAGTATTGTGCATTCAGATTTTTATTTGACCTTAATATGCTACTTTTCAAGACTGAGTTATACTATTGCTTTGATTGCATCTCTCTTTGAAAGATTTTGGACTATTACGTTTAATCAAAAGGTTCTGAGGATGTTTTCCTTTGTTATGATGCTAAAATAAGTATGATGTTGGTTTGAAACCGCTCACAGTGTCTATTTTTATAAAATATCTCAGTACTACAACTAGAGATGAAATATGATTACTTTTTGGTTTGGGTTACATTTTTACTAGTAGTAAAACTACTACTAAACAGTGTGTATTTGTCCAAATTGCAACTTTTTAAAGTGAAATTGTTATTTCTATGTATTATTTTCCCTTAATGTTATATAAAGAAGACAGATGAGAAGACTGAAGCGTATGGGGACAAAAATGTTAATAATGTAGAAATACTGAGAGTATGCATTTCTTTCACAAATTTTTAATTGTTTTCAAAGGATTTTTCTTCATGTGCAAACAGTAGTTGTGACTATTGATAGCTGTTGAATTGTATTATTTCTTAATCCTGTGGTGGAATTAGCTGTGCCATGTTAATGTGGCTGGTTTTTCTACGAGTCCTTCAGGGTGTTTTCATTAATGAATGTTTGATAATATAATTTTTTTTTTTTCATTCTGAAAGATGCTAAAAATGCTAATTATGTCTCAATTCATAAAAGTGTACACACATGCATGTGTGTTGCAGCCTGTGTTACATGTGTATAAACAAATTCACATTTCAGATGTGTTAGATATTTTTAAACACTGGTTTAAAGAAGTTTAAAAAGAACCAGTAGCTTTTTCCATGCTTTGTCTTAGGAAAACTTTAAATCCTATTGATCATGGCATTGAAGTTGATTGACTTCAGTGTTTGGAAAAAAAAAAAAGTAAGCACCAATGTTTTTTTCCCAGTGGAAACACCCAGAGGTGTTTCAAAGCTCTTCATCTTGCCCTGGTGTCTCATAGATAGAACCTCAAGATAAAGGTTCACAATGTGGGTTTGCACAGTGGAAAAATTTAGAGATTCCCACTTTTCCAACTGTATTCATGATCACAAAATGACTACGAACTTAATTATCCTTGAGCCTATTACCCACTCATTTGCGAAAGCGATTTGAAAATGACTAATGGCTTCAAGTGTTGGAAAGAAGGAAAATCCTTCTAGAGGCAGAGAGACTCTAGTGAGACTGGAGGCAAAAACACCCTGCATGTGTTTGCAGAAGCATCCATGTGATTGTGTAAATTTATTTTCCTTATGATATCAGGTGTAGAAGAGTTAGACAAATAAGGAAAAGGGGAAACCAGCAGAGGTTTGGAAAAGGAAATGAGTGGAAAGGGCATGTGGTCAGGTAGGCGTGCTCTGGAGCTACAAAGGTGTTTTCATGTGTGTGTTGCAAAGAAAATAATGATTTTGAAGGAAGAACAAATGAATTATAAGATAAACAGTAAAAAATGTTTCATAAAGAGGGAGATGTGTATTGGAAATATCTTGGAAATGACTGTGAGAGATGAGACACTAAGATCAAAGTTGCAGCAGGCAGTGGGGGCAACATGTGACCCCAGTTCAAGGCAGTTCTTCAGTTCTTGTTTAAATGCACTGAATTGGACAGTATGTGTGTTGAAAATTGCAATTTTTTTTCTCAGGGAATTTTATTCACTGGAGCTGTATGAGGTACCTCAGCCCTGAAGGTCCAAAGGACTGTGAAAAATGTGGCTTTGAAAAAATAGCAAGAAATTGAAAGGTGATAGAAATAGCTCTGCCAAGCCAAGGAATTTTTTTTAAAAAATAGAAAGGTTGTCTAATTAAACAGGGAATTTCTTATACTTGGTGCATGTCTCGAGGAGTGTTTAGTAGCCAACTGAAGTTATAGTATATAACTTCAGATATGTACAGTTAAAGGCTTTATTTGCATTTATACAAGTTGATTTATCTATTCACAGTCAATAATATTGTGCTGTATTAAAATTATAAACAATGGGTATGTTACCAATGAAGAGTTTTTTTGTCAGATTGATATTTTACACTATGTCTCATGTGAAATCCAGTCAGTGATCCTACAGTGAATTTTCTGTTGCTATTTTGATAGATACTGCTGGCATGTTGTTACACTAAGTCTTTCTGGATTTTGCCTGCTGAAGTTGAGGCTTGGGATGGAATACCAAAATACATTTTCTTTAGAGGCAAATACTTAGAGAGACCCTTACCACTGATCCAGCTGCTTATGCAGTAGTGGCTGTGTAATTGTGTATGCAGGTTGCTTCCAGGAATGTGGTCTGAACTGGGAAGGGGGAGAAAAGGGAATTACAATTTTATTGGTCCAGTTTCCAGCAATACCCAAGAGAGGCATCTGCAGAAATTGATGCTGGTTGAGTTGGTTTAAAAGCTACAGAGACCTGCAAGGAGGAAATTGGAGGATCCCTTAGATTTTCTGGAGCAGAGTTTTTATAAAACATGGACCTGTCTCCTTGTCTTTCTATGTTCTGAAGCTCTTCTCAAAATCTTATATCTTAGTTGTTGGTTTGTAGTAGTCTTCTCCCTCCTGCTGACACCCTTGCTGTCTGCTTGGCATGCTACTGCCAGTAAGTCTTCACTGTGATGACTTAAATATAACTAAAATGAGTAATGTCTCAGTCCCTTTGCCTGTTCTTTAAAGTCAACAAAGTTTATTTGGGACATTTCTAATGATCTTCACTAAGAGTAAGGATGGTAAAAAATACCATTATTTTCCTCATGAACCGTGAAACCAAACTAAATTACAAAAGTATGAGGGAAGATGATGTGGTATTAGAAGCCAAAGCCTACTGTGTTATTTTGCTTAGAGAAATGCTGGAGGCTGTGAAATGTCAAATAGATTCAGTGGTGTAATTTCAGGATCAAATTGTATTAACACCCATACTTTAAGTAAAATAATACCATTTGCTGGTTTGATTCCATTCATCTTCAATAAAAGTAAGTTCCTAAATGAACATCATCTTTTTAAATCAAGGTTTCAGGTATATTTCAGAATCTCAACAGTTGCAGTTATGGAAGGAAAAATCAGTGTTTTTGTACAAGTACATCTTGACTAATGTATGTCTTTAAACACAAGCATCACAGAATCAGAGAATACCCTGAGTTAGAAGGGACTCATTACAGTCATTGAGTCCACCTCCTGGCCCTGCTCAGGATACTCCAAGAACGACACTATGTACCTGAAAACATTGTCCAAATATTTCTTGAACTCAGTTATGGTTCATAACCAAGTAGTTCAGTTACCTTTCATCTTTTAATATACTCATATATCTCCTAAACTTCAGAAATAATTTGTGTCTGTGCCTGTGGGTTGGCCTGCTCTAGTGTGTATCCACTGTGCAGTTGTCATGTGCTGCAGAAAACTTGGACTCTGAATTGTGAGTGTGTGTCTATGGCCAATAACTTTCATAAGGCACCTTTTGGAACTTACCTTAGCTTTCAATTTCTGTACTTTCATTTTAAAAGAATGTACTGGTTTTCTCTCTACAAAATAAAGGCAGAAAGTGTATGTCATTGTGTGATGTATTATATAAAATTAAGGCTTCTAGATTTAATTATGCACCTCAGAGTTAATTCTGTCTTAGGAACCATCAGGGCTGGATTGCAAGCGCTGGAGAAGAAAGAGAGCATGAGATAAAACTATCAGAGATAAGGGAGTTCATATGGGGTTATTAATGGACAATTCCAAATCTGCCTGCACTAAAATGTCAGTAATTCTGCATTTAGAATTACTGTAATTTAGAAACCTGTTAGTACCAGTCGAACCAGAGTATTTACAGCTATCACTTGGGCTTGCTTACAGCAAAGTTCTTTGTACTGGAAATGTCTTTAGGCTTAAATAAGGAAGCCATAATACCAAGCTGTAAAACTCTCAAGGTGTATGCAACAGCGTGTGAAGTGATGAAAGAAGCCAGTTGGGGAAGGAATTAGTCACCCATCCTAATATAAAGACAACCACACTACCATCTGGTTTTTTGTTTGTTTTAAATGTTTGAAGCAGGTATATTAGGGACAAATGCCACCTTTGTGATGCTAATAACACCCATAAAATCCTCATCTGCAACACTGATAAAGTCAAGCTCTTCTCTTAGAGAAAATAACCATCCTGCCTAGTGTTTGGCTACTTCTTGAATGAAGAATATAGATCACATATATGAGTATCTAGATGGAGAGGCTTGTAGTACATAAATCAGATGT